ATTGGTACTAGCAAAGAATGATATAAGCTAAGAAGATGGCAACAGGACAAGTGAACGACGTATGAATTTGATCCAAAGAGATTTTTCTTTTGGAAAATACTTTTTTGTATAATTATTTTATTTTATTTTTTTATACAATTTGACATATTATTAAAATGATTAGTTCTTTCAATTCATGTGGGACTCATAATATTGAACGTACCACTTATTTAATGACGTATGAAAGTTGTATAAAAAAATGAGATAAAAAAATTATTTCTATAGCACCACATTTTTTTTAAAGGATTTTTCTATTGGGTGCCTTATTATTATATAAGATAAGGATAAGGATATAATAAATATATATTTTTATAATTAATATTTATTAAAAATATAATATTAATTTTAATTTAATTAATTAATCAATGAAAATTATTCATATATCAGTTATATTAAAATATATATTAATTTTTATTATTTTTAATATAAATTAATTAAAAATATATATTTATTGTACCCTACTTTATATCATAATAATTACTTATTAAATTTTTTTTTTAATATTATTTTTCAGCCAACAGAAGATCAAGTGAGATTCGGTATGATTTAGGACACGTGCATTAAGGTCCAAGAGTAATGGAACGGACGGACCGCATGCGCATGGTTGTTGACAAGTTGCAATACTTAATGAGAGATGTTCCCATGTGGTCGACCTGTAAACTATCCCTGTGTACCAGTTAACACGTCACCATCACTCACCGACTAAGTTTATCGTCCACTCTCCACACCGTCCGATGTGACACCGAACTGCTGGTTCACGTTTCTTTTGTTGCCACCTGTTAGGGACTAAACTGTACTCGTTCATACCTAACAGCCACTCTGATTTATAAAATGGTAATTCGCACAATTCGCACCTACGGGGTTTGAGACAATTGCACATGACCTCCACTGGTTTTGAAAGAGTCAAAAGAGGAATGGAGTCTTCCCAAATTTCTAAAGTACCAAACTTAGTCAATGAGGGTGGCCAAAAAAAATTCAATAGCAAGTCTCTTAGATTTCATAAAATAACACATATAGCCTCCTAAGATAGGAAAAATAATGAAAAAGTGAAAAAAAAGTCCTTCATTCTCCAATTTTAAAGGACTCCAATTTAAGATTTTCATATATTAAAATAATGTTATCTTTAATTATTTTTTAAAGAGAGTTTAATTTAAAAATTTTAATAATAATTTAATAATAATCCCTTTTTATAAAGATAAAAACACTTGAATTTAAATTACATGCCATGTAAACATTCTAAATTAAAGAATAAAAAAATATTGTCTCTTATTATGCAAATTAATTAAAAAAATATTTTTCTACAATTAAAGAGGAATTATGAGGATATTAAATAAAGAATTTTTCTTTTTAAATAAATTAAAATGATTTATATATTAATTAAGAGAAGAAACAAAAGATTTCGTGAAATTCAAATACGTCATTTATTGAAAATGAACAATCCTAACCCAATATTCATCTCACTGAATTGAAGCAGACTATATATTAGATAAAGAATTTAAAAAGAAAATTGAGAGAAAAAAT